GAAGGCTAGGATCATGTAATATATAGGGAAGTGTGTGTGTGTGGGGGAGGCTAGGATCATGTAATATATATAAGGAAGTTTGTGTGTGGGGGGAAGGCTAGGATCATGTAATATATAAGGAATAGGATCGGGAAGGCTAGGATCATGTAATATATGAGGAAGCGTGTGTGTCGGGAAGGCTAGGATCATGTAATATATATAAGGAAGTGGGGGTGTGGGGGGAAGGCTAGGATCATGTAATGTATATAAGTAAGTGTGTGTGTGTGGGGAAGGCTAGGATCATGTAATATATATAAGGAAGTGTGCGTGTGTGGGGAAGGCTAGGATCAGGTAATATATAAGGAAGTTTGTGTGTGTGGGGAAGGCTAGGATCATGTAATATATAAGGAAGTGTGGGGAAGGCTAGGATCATGTAATATATAAGGAAGAGTGTGTGTGTGGGGAAGGCTAGGATCATGTAATGTATAAGGAAGTGTGTGTGTGTGTGTGGGGAAGGCTAGGATCATGTAATATATATAAGGAAGTGTGTGGCTGTGGGGAAGGCTAGGATCATGTAATATATATAAGGAAGTGTGTGGCTGTGGGGAAGGCTAGGATCATGTAATATATATAAGGAAGTTTGTGTGTGTGTGGAAGGCTAGGATCATGTAATATATAAGGAAGTGTGTGTGTGTGGGGAAGGCTAGGATCATGTAATATATAAGGAAGTGTGTGTGTTTGGGGAAGGCTAGGATCATGTNCTAAGATCATGTAATATATATAAGGAAGTTTGTGTGTGGGGGGAAGGCTAGGATCATGTAATATATAAGGAAGTGTTTATGTGTGGGGAAAGCTAGGATCATGTAATATATAAGGAAGTGTTTATGTGTGGGGAAAGCTAGGATCATGTAATATATAAGGAAGTGTGTGTGCGTGGGGAAGGCTAGGATCATGTAATATATAGGGAAGTGTGTGTGTGTGGGGAAGGCTAGGATTATGTAATATATAAGGAAGTTTGTGTGTGTGGGGAAGGCTAGGATCATGTAATATACTAGGATCATGTAATATATATAAGGAAGTGTTTGTGTGTGGGGAAGGCTAGGATCATGTAATATACTAGGATCATGTAATATATATAAGGAAGTGGGTGTGTGGGGGAGGCTAGGATCATGTAATATATATAAGGAAGTGTGTGGCTGTGGGGAAGGCTAGTATCATGTAATATATATAAGGAAGTGTGTGGCTGTGGGGAAGGCTAGGATCATGTAAAATATATAAGGAAGTGTGTGTGTGTGGGGGAGGCTAGGATCATGTAATATATATAAGGAAGTGGGTGTGTGGGGGAGGCTAGGATCATGTAATATATAAGGAAGAGTGTGTGTGTGGGGAAGGCTAGGATCATGTATTATATAAGGAAGTGTGTGTGTTTGGGGGAGGCTAGGATCATGTAATATATATAAAGAAGTGTGTGTGTGTGGGGAAGTCTAGGATCATGTAATATATATAAGGGAGTGTGTGTGTGGGGAAGGCTAAGATCATGTAATATATATAAGTAGGATCATGTAATGTATATAAGGAAGTGGGTGTGTGTGGGGAAGGCTAGATATATATAAGGAAGTGTGTGTGTGTGGGGAAGATATATAAGGAAGTGTGTGTGTGTGGGGAAGGCTAGGATCTTGTAATATATATAAGGAAGTGTGTGTGTGGGGAGTGTGTGTGTGTGGGGAAGGCTAGGATCTTGTAATATATATAAGGAAGTGTGTGTGTGTCGGGAAGGCTAGGATCATGTAATATATATCAGGAAGTGTGTGTGTGGGGGGGAGTCTAGGATCATGTAATATATATAAAGAAGTGGGTGTGTGTGGGTTATATATATAAGGAAGTGTGTGTGGGGGGGGGAGGGAAGGCTAGGATCATGTAATGTATATAAGGAAGTGGGTGTGTGTGGGGAAGTCTAGGATCATGTAATATATAAGGAAGAGTGTGTGTGTGGGGAAGGCTAGGATCATGTATTATATAAGGAAGTGTGTGTGTTTGGGGGAGGCTAGGATCATGTAATATATATAAAGAAGTGGGTGTGTGTGGGGGAGTCTAGGATCATGTAATATATATAAAGAAGTGGGTGTGTGGGGGGAAGTCTAGGATCATGTAATATATATAAGGAAGTGTTTGTGTGTGGGGAAGGCTAGGATCATGTAATATATAAAAGGAAGTGTGTGTGTGGGGGGAAGGCTAGGATCATAGGATCATGTAATATATAAGGAAGTGTGTGTGTTTGGGGGAGGCTAAGATCATGTAATATATAAGGAAGTGTGTGTGCGTGGGGAAGGCTAGGATCATGTAATATATAGGGAAGTGTGTGTGTGTGGGGAAGGCTAGGATCATGTAATGTATAAGGAAGTGTGTGTGTGTGTGTGGGGAAGGCTAGGATCATTTAATATATATAAGGAAGTGGGTGTGTGTGGGGGAGGCTAGGATCATGTAATATATAAGGAAGAGTGTGTGTGTGGGGAAGGCTAGGATCATGTATTATATAAGGAAGTGTGTGTGTTTGGGGGAGGCTAAGATCATGTAATATATAAGGAAGTGTGTGTGTTTGGGGAAGGCTAGGATCATGTAATATATAGGGAAGTGTGTGTGTGTGGGGAAGGCTAGGATCATGTATTATATAAGGAAGTGTGTGTGTTTGGGGGAGGCTAGGATCATGTAATATATATAAGGAAGTTTGTGTGAAGGCTAGGATCATGTAATATATATGGAAGTGTGTGTGTGTGGGGAAGGCTAGGATTATGTAATATATAAGGAAGTTTGTGTGTGTGGGGAAGGCTAGGATCATGTAATATACTAGGATCATGTAATATATATAAGGAAGTGTGTGTGTGGGGGGGAGGCTAGGATCATGTAATATATATAAAGAAGTGGGTGTGTGTGGGGAAGTCTAGGATCATGTAATATATATAAGGAAGTGTGTGTGTGGGGGGGAGGCTAGGATCATGTAATATATATAAAGAAGTGGGTGTGTGTGGGGAAGTCTAGGATCATGTAATATATATAAGGAAGTTTGTGTGTGGGGGGAAGGCTAGGATCATGTAATATATAAGGAAGTGTGTGTATGTGGGGAAGGCTAGGATCATGTAATATATAAGTAAGTGTGTGTGGGGGGGGAAGGCTAGGATCATGTAATATAGGGGGATACATGTAATATATAAGGAAGTGTGTGTGTTTGGGGAAGGCTAGGATCATGTAATATATAAGGAAGTGGGTGTGTGTGGGGAAGGCTAGGATCATGTAATGTATAAGGAAGTGTGTGTGTGTGGGGGGAAAGGCTAGGATCATGTAATATATATAAGGAAGTTTGTGTGTGTGGGGAAGGCTAGGATCATGTAATATAGGGGGATACATGTAATATATAAGGAAGTGTGTGTGTTTGGGGAAGGCTAGGATCATGTAATATATATAAGGAAGTGGGTGTGTGTGGGGAAGTCTAGGATCATGTAATATATAAGGAAGTGTGTGTATGTGGGGAAGGCTAGGATCATGTAATATATATAAGTAAGTGTGTGTGTGTGAGGGGAAGGCTAGGATCATGTAATATATAAGGAAGTGTGTGTATGTGGGGAAGGCTAGGATCATGTAATATATATAAGGATGTGTGTGTGTGGGGGGAAGGCTAGGATCATGTAATATATAAGGAAGTTTGTGTGTGTGTGGAAGGCTAGGATCATGTAATTTATATAAGGAAGTGTGTGTGTGTGGGGAAGGCTAGGATCATGTAATATATAAGGAAGTGGGTGTGTGTGGGGAAGTCTAGGATCATGTAATATATAAGGAAGTGTGTGTGTGTGGGGGAGGCTAGGATCATGTAATATATATAAAGAAGTGTGTGTGTGTGGGGAAGTCTAGGATCATGTAATATATAAGGAAGTGTGTGTGTTTGGGGAAGGCTAGGATCATGTAATATATAAGGAAGTGGGTGTGTGTGGGGAAGGCTAGGATCATGTAATGTATAAGGAAGTGTGTGTGTGTGGGGGGGAAAGGCTAGGATCATGTAATATATATAAGGAACTGTGTGTGTGTGTGGAAGGCTAGGATCATGTAATTTATAAAAGGAAGTGTGTGTGTGTGGGGAAGGCTAGGATCATGTTATATATATAAGGAAGTGTGTTTGTGTGGGGAAGGCTAGGATCATGTAATATATATAAGGAAGTGTGTGTGTGTGTGGAAGGCTAGGATCATGTAATATATATAAGGAAGTGTGTTTGTGTGGGGAAGGCTAGGATCATGTAATATAGGGGGATATACATTGTATGTATATACAAACTGTGCTTAAGGTCATAGGAGTGTATATATTGCTAAACGGAAATAGGAAGTACATCCATAGTTGAAAATCCAATGTAGGGAGACAGTTTCACAACTTCCGCATATTCTAATGTTTAATATTAAACTGATGAATATTGTATGCTTATTATTGACAGAACAGTGTGTTCTTTCAATATTAAAGTATTGCAAAGCAATCAAGGCATTAATTCATTTTTTTTTAATCAATGAGTCACATGTGTCCATTTTTCTGTACATCAGGAAACCGGCTACCTATTTCACTACTATGTAGTTTTTCAAGAACGATAACTCTTGCATGCAATTACTATGTGTATATGGTTTTATTATAAAATGTCAATTTTTAATCGTTTATAGATCATTTATTTTACACAATTTCAGCATTTATGAACTTGATATACATTAATGCAATACTCATCTATTTTAGTATCATTTTTATTGACATTATTTTGCAAAAAATTGGGTGTTTCATTTTTTTCTCCAAAATTCACTCCTTACATACATTTCCATTTAAAATCCTTAAAATTCTGACAACCTAAAATTTTTTGTGGCAGAAAATGTTCTTTACTTCAAAGCAATATAACTACAAAATTTGAATAAATTCTACTGAGACTTACAAACTTTACAGAAGAACTCAAAATAACGCTAGCTAGATGAACATCAGAGTTAAATATGTAAAAACTTACAGAGGAGGACTGATAGATGCAGCTCTGGTGAACTGGCCACTGGTCGACACACCATAACATCGAACATCTAGGGTACGCCCAGGATTAGGTATACTGCAATCAAGTCAAAATTACAACAGATTTCCTAACAAAGGTAAAATTGTACAACCTGTTAACCATGTTAAACCTATCAGTGGTTTTAGTTAACGCAGGTTCTTTCCATATGTATATGAATGTATCACATTTCCTCAAAGCAAAGCTAACATTTCACTGTACAATGCACTCACATTATTTACAAATGTGACTACTTTACTGTTTTGTTTAGTTTCGTACAATGATTATTTAAATATTTCTCATTTTCATTTCATCTAATCATTTCAAATTATCATGTTGAATAAACTCTCCATCCTAGTCTCATAAAGATAATATCATAAACTAATGATTTCTCATAATTCCACTGGCTGGATCATATAACCAGTTCTCAAAAACTCATGAAACAGTTAGACTAGTTTACTGGTAAATAATAATTTCTAAATATAGCCTTTATGGGAATGTCCTACACTTTTCACTGTTAATAAACAGTTGTTTAATATATGAATAATCAATATTCAAAAGTTTTTTTTATATGTTTTGTAATCTTTCAACATTAAAATATATTATTGGCTATATATTATGATTGTGTTACTTAGCCAAGATGAGATGATATGAAACCTGTGATAAAACATGGCAGTAAACCTTGCCTCCAAAATATCAAATTAAATTTTGTTTTCTTCTTTAATTTGTTGTTGAAGCATGTGTTATAAAGCAATTAAGGACATTTGTGATGTTAAATATGTTATATCAACCTGAAAAAGGTGATACTGACCTTAGCTTCTCCTCTTATCATTTTTTGCAGGTTCATATAAATAACATCATATTCACCATCACAATAGTATATGATTGCAATTGTGTACTGTACCGATACAGGATATAGCTCTTGAAATAATTTCTTGTATGGAATTTCCTATGACTGTCTCATAAAGGAATCCCTGTTTATTTCTGTTTCCTATATACAAATCCCCTCATAGAGAAATGCCTGGTACCCATTAACTCAGATACTGCATATAGAGAAATGGTCACTGCAGTTTCATTTTTACCTTTTTCATGCTCCACAATGAGAGTTAATTTATCATTAGTGATATTAGCAATTCACATAGTAATGAAATGGGTAACACTGGTGAGTATGAATTATACAGCAACGGGTGACAGTTTGGCTTGGGGGAAGTTTATCAGTATATAGCTATAGTATTCCATTCACTTATAATACTCATATATATATAACTATATCTTTCATTCATAGAGCCCCCCATCCTCCACCCCAACCCCATCCTCCAACCCCACCTACCCCTACCCGATCCTCCACCCCCATAGAGAAATCCCCTTCACATTAAAAAGGTTTCATTTTCATTCATCTTACGTTTGTACAAATTGTCTTATTTCACACTTATAACCACATACATAAAATTAATTTTGTACTAATCATCACATGCCATGTATCATATTTACTATATGTATGTGACCTCTTGTTACACACGTAAGTGTGTCAGAGTGAAGGAATAAAACTTGAGACTTAAATTAGATCTCTGCTATTTATCTTTTTAAAGATTTACCTTGTTTCAAGTAAAATCCCTTGAAAGCTTAGCTCAAGGAATTTTACCTTACATATAAAACAAAACCTTTTCTAAAATGTACATTAAATCTTACTTGAATGAGACAGTGCTGTTGACATTTGTACTGCTAACAGTCTCAGGAACAAAGGTGGCGTTGCTGTATCCGTCGACTGGGTAGCTCAACTCACATGTTACCTGCACCTGAACAAAAATATTTCAAATATTATACTTTTTTAAATGAAATTCAAAATGAAAGTCTACAAAATGTCATTTTCTTCATTTTTTTACCATGAAGATTAATGTAGATTCAAATCTCGGGTAATTATGTAACATACAGTTATTTCCTGAAAACTTAGATCTAATCTATACTATCTGAAAGTACCTGATAGATAAATTTCATGTTAATAATCCTTTGAAGTAAATACTTCCTGAAAATGAACTGTAACAGCAAAACACATTGAGAGTAATTAACCTTATTAACTCACTCACCTCTGAAGACACATTTGAACTCTTCCAATTCAAAGGTTGGAATAGTTCATTTATGAAACTTCAGGGGTAAATGAGTTAACTAGAATTTCACAAAAACGTATGTCTCCCCTTATTAGCCAATTGTCATGCAGACAAATAGACAAACTTTGGTATAAAAAATTAACAAAGGGCTATATCTCTTTATTTAGAATACGACACTCCTACTTCCCAAGATACATTAAAACTATAGCAAATTTGGTCAATGTAGGTGAAATAACATGGAAGTTATGCCGAGGACAAACTTTGGTATTAAAAATAAACAAATGGCCATTACTCTGTATAAAGTGGGGCACAAAACCTGATTTTGATGCGAAAGATTCCACCTTCCCAAGATACATAAATATGGTAAGTTTGGTCAACGTAGGTGAAATAACATGGAACTTATGCTCCGGACAAACTTTGATATTAAAAATAAACAAAGGGCCATAACTCTGTATATAGTAGGGGCACGAGACCTAGTTCCAGTGCACTGCACACCTTCTGTGGGTGATGCAGATATACTTTAAGTTTTATTAAGATTTCTTTAATGGTTTAGAAGTTATGCCATGGACAATCTTCGGTATTAAAATAAACAAAGGGACATAACTCTGTATATAGTGGGGCATAAAACCTGATTTTAGTGCAAAAGATTCCGCCTTCTCAAGATACATAAATATGGTACGTTTGGTTAACGGAGGTGAAATAACATAGAATTTATGCTACGGACAAACTTCGGTATTAAAATTAAACAAAGGCCCCATAACTCTGTATATAGTGAAGTATGAGACCTAATTCCAGTGCACTGCACACCTTCTGTGGGTAATGCAGGTATACTCCAAGTTTGATCAAGATATCGCAGGTATACTTCAAGTTTGATCAAGATATCTTTAACGGTTTAAAATTTACGGGCCGGACAAGAATTTACTGAAAATGTTGCACTTATTTGACCTTTGACCTTGAGGTAAAGGTCACAGTGACCTATTTCCAGTGCACTGCATACCTTGTGTGGGTGATGCATGCATACCTAAAGTTTCATCAAGAAATCTTTGACGGTTGAAAAAGAAGAAGAAGAAGAAGAAGAAGAAGAAGAAGAAGAAGAAGAAGAAGAAGAACCAGTACTAATACGATATGTCTAGCTCCCTGTTCATTACATGCAGATTTAAAGATTGTACTACAATTATCTGATGATAGTACTGGTAAATTTATGTTTGAAACATACATTTCAAGGACCCTTTACAAATTTTGAAATTCAGTGCTGTTTTCAAGGTGAGTAAGTAATAGCTACTGACAGATACAGTCTTAATGATGGACAAATAGAAATGTCTGATGAATTAGGTTACACTATGATAGACTTATAAAACATAATTCCTTTTCTTTTAATTTATCAACACAGATATTCTATAGTCTAGAAATCATAACTTTGATACCAATGACAACACTTAAAAGTGCTAATCTGATAAATAATTTACATGTACAAAACATAAATCAACATTTCGTAACTTACATTGGGATTAAGAGTTACTACAGCAGTTGGATCTGTGGCGTTGATCACTTGTAAATACACTGGAACTACTGGTGTGGCATCATTGGGGGAGAACTGGAGGTTTGGCACTGCAGAGCTCCCGGCATATCCAATGTATACTCTCCCTAATTCAAATAAACAGATAATTTATTCATAGTTCAAAATAACTCCCTTTCTGTATATACTTGGCTTATTATAGAAATGGTTCATGTATATTCAGTGATTATTTTGGTCTTCTTTTTTCAGCCGAAAACAGGCTGCTTCACTTGACCAAAAAGTGCTGAATTTTCACAAAATTCAGAAAACAAACAGGATATTTTTTTTCTTTTTTCTTATAAAAACATAATTTTGTTTTTCCAATTCAAAGGTAGGAAAAAATACTGACCATTGACATAAACATTCCGACAAATAAAGATTTCATTGGTTCCTATGATGACTCACCTACATTGTATGTATCAAAAACAAGTCTGAATTCAATTATACTGATAACAAAATTCTGCGATATCGGTCACGCTCTGTTTGAATTCATTGATGAGCTATATATTAGTGGAGATTCCATATAAGAATTTAAAAGGTCTGCAACCAGTACAGTATATCCTTACTTCCAACTAATTGAATAAACCTACAAGGAGTTTGGAAACGTTTCACTAGTGGGTAACATGCATCCTGGATGTGATTTCATTTGTCACGAATTATGACGTCAATTAACAATGTCTTGCTACGTCATCTTCCAATGTTGCGGGAGAAAAAGGTCCCCAGACTCGTGATGGTTGATTATCATGTTAATCTTACTCTCCTTAGTTAATTTTCAAATTGTAAAGTCGCTCAGAAAAACTAATGTCTTTAACAAAAACGAAAAAAATCTAGCTATCTAATCATGATAACAAACCACCACCTATTGGGGAACCTCTATTTCTGACACTGGCCAGCAAAAAATACAACTTATCACCAAGTATATATGGTAGGTTTGTTATTACTAGTTTCTAGATTAAAATATTCACACAATGTCCTTTCCCCCAACCCTAAGTTAAATATATATAATATGTATAGATAACAGTCAAACTGAAATCTAGGGTAAATTATTTAAAGGTGGTTGGTCAATGTGCTCGAAAAATTGAAATAGCAAAGATGATTTTACTGTTGTAAGAAACAAGTTCGGACATGATGTCCAACTACGAAAAGTATGTAATATATACTGCTCATATTTCGCAAACGTATTAAATCTTTATAGAACAAAGTTGAAACTAATAGATATATTACTAAAATTGCACCTTAAACACTGAGACACGCGTTAAAGTTTCTATTATAAATTTAGAAATAGAATAAACAAATATCAATGCTATGTTGGAAAAATAAAGTTTACACTAATAGCATTTCCGCTGTTTCAAGAGATCTCTGAATGCTTACCTTGCCCCTGGACTGTGAAAAATCCACAGAATAGTATGAAAATACAAAGCAGCAGCATCACGAATCAACTCATCTACAAGATAGCATATTCACAGTATTTCACATTAGACACATTCGCGATTCTATCAAATTTTCCGCCATTGTGATGCTATTCCATCTCCTAGTTATTTTAATAGGAGGAATTGTATTGGCCAACAGTAACAACCGCAACCAATAGAATGAACCGTTCTTTAGCTGTAGGGAAATACGATGAAGGGAAATAACTCGATTTGTACACACGTGCGAGGTCGCAATGACGTCTAGTTAAATGTAGTTAGACAGAGATCCTGTACTGTAGTGTTTATACACCAATTTTGCAGCAATGGTTGAAGTACTCAAGTCAACATTTGAAGATTATCTTCCACTGATTGAACGCAGTATAAAAAGTGCCGACTTCATTGGTAAACCACTAAATGTTGAATATATGATGTAAATCATGATATTCACGTATTTTGTATGTGTCATCCGTGTCATCTGCTGTAGTATAGTCAAACTTTGCTTGATTTACTGCTTAAACCTCATGGAGCACCTTTAATGATTAAAAATACATGTCCTTAAAACAATTGCCCTTGAGGTCTTTATTTCGCACACCAATTTAAAGACTGGATTTGTTGCATCAGACAGGTCTTTCATGGTAAATTTAACAAGTGACATGTAACGTTATATAAATTATTCAGCCTGATATTTGTAATAAGAAAAGAAAAAAATGCGCAGCTAGACCTGAATGTGAACCAATTCTCTCTGAACTCTAGATAGACATTGTAACCAATTGAACTACCTGGTCGCTGGTGATCGACTTAGTCTAGTTCCACTAAAATCCTCCATCCTTTCTCTTAGTTATTGTGTTTCCCCATTCTGAATACAACACTATGCTACCACAGCACCACAGGAGAGGTAAAATGTTGACACATGAGCTGCAAACTTTTAAGTGGATGCCCTACCAATTTCATAAGGTACCCACCCAGTACAGAATACAAAAAAACTCGCCTCCAAATTGTCTGTTGCAACTAGTTTATATCCAATGACTACTGCCAAACAGGCAGTGTAAGTAACATGCTCACTGATCTTGAATATGAACCTCTACAGTCTAGAGGAACCAAAGCAAAACCATGCATCTTGCTGTACAAAATTGTTAACCACCTAGTAGACATACCAGGGGATCCACACCTCACACCATCAGGTGCTTCTACAAGAGGTCATAACATCATAACATCATAACATCCGAAACCTCCAACCGAACACTGTTATACCAACACTCCTTCTTCCCAAGTGCCATCAGAGTTTGGAACACCTTGCCACAGCCACTGGTCAGTTTGCCAACCCTTGATGGGTTCAGACGGGCACCGACCTAACCGATTTTAACTGTACATACACATATTTTAAGTTTTAGAAGACATGAAAAAAACCCACATTATTATGGATAAAGTTTCATCCATCACAGGGGTTACCAGACAACTAATGTATTTGATAATGATACAATTATTGGTACATGATATAATTGCCACCATTATAAAATTGTGAACTCTGCAATAATCCATGCAGAATTACACAATGTAAGGGTTATGTATAAATCAGAAGCATGGAATGCTAATTACGTACAGGTAATGTAACGTGCGGACCGTCACCCATACAATTACTGACCATGTTCAACGTTGCTGAACGGGTCCTTAGGTTATACCATGCATTCATACTGCATCACTGGGAAATCAAGCTTGCCAGTAAGGCAGTATTTTAATATTCCTTAGCTGTTACAGTATATGTTCACAGTAACTTGTTTCGTCATATAGAGTATATATGTACTGATTAACTCCAGTAACATACAATTGTGTATGAATGTTGTTATTTGTGTAATGTGTGTCAGTGCCCAACAAGGTCCTTAATTGATGAATAAAACATCTTGTATCCTATATTGTAAAAGGATGCAGGTTGTCCATTTTTCTGTAGGATATCACTATGCTGATTGTTCAAAGGATATATTGTATAGGGCTGATTTGGATGAGGGTGAGACCTGAACACTGACAATTGATCTACTTCAGGTTATGTTCAGAACTGTGAATCATGAACTGTTATCTGATTTGGGGTTGTGTATACTATATTCTGATCTTGCAAAAAAGTATGTTTACCTCTTTTAAGCAAAAGAGCACAGGTGAACCCTACCCTGCTAAAACATTCTATCAGGAGCTGATTGCATCATACATATGGTGGTACTTACAGGCTGGAGAGGAGATTGATATCCAGTGTTAAACTCTTGAATTTCAGAGATGGCCTTGCTGCAATCCAAATAGACTGTCCACATCATCACCATAATCTAGGACTCAAACTGAGTGTCCTTATAATTCAAGCAAGGTCAACCAAACTTAGACCCATTTGGTGAATAGGTTATTATCCCCGCTTTCACCGAAATATATTAATTTCTGTATGTCTGGACGGACAGACGACCCTCATTTGGCGGAGTTATGGCCCCTTGAATAACGAAAAACGTAATTATCTGCTGAGTTTTGTTTCTGTGCAATAATTCTACAACAAATATTATCCTATTGTCTTCAAACTTAGTAACAGGGTTCAATGCATTAAGGGCTCGGCCAAGTTTGACAACCATTTTAATCGGACTCCATTCGGCAGAGTTATGGCCCATTGATTTACGAAAATGTCATTATCTGCCGTTTCCGCTTAATAACTTGAGCAAATATTAGCCAAATTCCTTCAAACTTGATAACAATGTTTGTGTTCCTCTGTCTTTCCACCCATCTTGGGCACTCTTTGGTTTTCGTGTGATAATTGCTGTAGATATTATTAAGATGTTTCAACCTAATTCCTTATGCACATCAAATTCATGCTAAGTTTGCGAACCGATGGGATTTGTGCATATATTTATGGATAATCAATGAGGTATAGGGCTTTTTTTTTTCTTCAAGTTTCAAGCTATACATTATGTCTCAACAGCACGATACTCACATGTTTAATTAAACCTAACCTCAATAATGTTAACCTACAATATGTCCTGCAAGCAGGGGATATAAATTCCATGAATTTGCTTGTTTTAGACCATATGTGCCCCCTATATCATCACATTTAGCCTCTGTAAGACTTTTCCTGATACATGTACTGAAATTAATATGTATACATATATTGTTGTAAGAATTAAGTATGATATATTATCATTATTGTACTTAAAAACATTGGCAGAATTTCTTCATTTACTTTACAGCTATTGACACAGAGTTTACTGGACTGGTTAAAAGTGCCAAGGAAAGGACGAAGTAAGTATACAATTTCTACAGAGTTGATTTGATAGATTGATTGATTTTTGCCATAAAACAAAATGTTCCTTTCTTCATATTTTAATATATCTAATGTAAGAAAGTAAAAGAATTTAATTTTTAATTAAAACAAAAAAGTTATCTTGACTCAAAAAAGAAAAAGCTTGTCATATATATATATATATATACATGTACATGTATTCAGTACATGTATCAGGAAAAGTTTATATATATATATATGCCTTAGATATTCTAAGGTAGACTCATATGAAACATTTAGAGTCATAAATACATTTTTACATTTTGGCATAAGACCTTAACCTTCATTTCAAGGATCAATTCTGTAACAAATGCTTTAACCATTTCTTCAAAACTATAATAAAAGTATGTTTATGCTGTCATAGAAGATCACAGATATAATTTAGGGCTGTACAATTTCATATTTAGAATATTAGGCCACAGGCAGATTTTGAAAAAAGTTCTACTAGAGCAGCATATATCATTTCAAAGTAATCTATGTGTATATTTTGTATTTTTTTTCTAGGCCTGACATAAAATTTACCAGTCCCAGGCTCAAATAGATGGAATTGTCAATTTACAGCTGTGTTATGTTGCTTTTGTATAAGTGTACAGATATGATTTTAGAATAATAGAAGTATGGAGAATGTTAGACCAGAAATATCACTCCTTGTCAAGAGTCCCACTGCTGTAAAATATTATTCTCCATCAGATCTTACGTTTGACTGAACATCAGTGAGGTATTCATTTTCAGCAAAAAAATCTGTATTGTCTCTGAGACATGAATAAATATTATTATAAATGTATTTCATTTTATTTTATTTGATCCTTATTTACCTTTACAGTCTGTTTGATACCAGTGAAGAGAGATACCAGAAACTGAAAAAGTCTATGTCCCAGTTCACCATATCACAACTAGGTAATTCTGTGTACCTCAAACAGTATCCTTTGTCAGTTATTCTAATTGACATGGAAATAATTATTATTTTATTTTATTTAAGGATGTGTTCCCTATATTTTTGATAATATTTCAAGCGCTATGATTATTTTTTAAATGCCAAAGAAGTTTTAAACTCTCCAAAAATATGCCATTCCATTCCACCAGGAATGGAAACTGTAAAGTAGGTGCTCGAATAATGAAAAAATGATCCAGATTCAGTAATGTAGCTGTATTAATTAGAATCACCATTGATTTTCATGCTGTTTTATTATGCAACATTTAGGCAAAAAGTTAAATGTCTGTTTGAGGTTGTAAATTGGCTGTACTCATCAAGGCAAGGTAAAATCTGATAACCCTTGAATTTGAAAGTGGACATAACATTTACCATGCACAGAAAACTTCCTATTTGTGTGTGCTGTATTCGAACATGGATGAGATTTTACAGCTTATTACGATGCAATGAAATTGCTTCATAATCAGTCAAAACGATATTGAGGGAGCGCCTCAGGAAGTCCAGACACTGGACCTATCAGATGATCTCTTAATACAGTTCCTTAGCAATGAAATCACTACAGTGGGGAACATTAAATTGGTCTTTTAACACAGATCTAAATGGTCTCGTTATTGTAGTGGTCACAGAAGCATGTTTGACTATCAAATTGCTTGTATGCTACTCTCATTTTTGCTGCATTTAGAGCAAGGTACACACATCAACAGAGTTTAAAAATTACAGAAAATCTGAGGAAACGATGTTTGAAACAATTGGTTAAGTGCTGTACATGGAAATTGTTTGGGAGAAATTTAGGGTAACTTGATATAGAAAATGTTGTAAAGTTTAGGGAAATATGTCTTTGTTAAAGTTCAGAAAGCTTTTAATGTTCTAACTGTGTACAACATTATGCTGAGATACACATTCCTTTTGCATAAACTTTCTAAAGGCTTTGAGCATTGAATAATTAGCATGATGAGAGTTGTTAATGGTTGTTTAAATCACTTTCAGGAATTTCAACATTCAAAAGGCAAGACAAAAACAGGTAATTATAAGCGTAACTGGAACTCGACTAGATCCATGGTTACACAAATTGTACAATGTATCATCACTTTTAATGAAATATACTTTTTCATTTTGAAATAGTTTAGATTTATCACACTATGATACACATTGAAATATTTGAGACAACTCAGGCTAAACTACTCTCAAAAACTGGGTTTGCATATTTGAACTGTATGTTTTGTTTACTCTTTGATACAGTATTTTATTCGAGTACTGTATCTTGTCCAGTATGTTGGGGCTATTTTATTTTATCCACTGTAGTAATAAGTCAGTATATCATCTGTTGGGTTTCTCTTACAGCTACTCTGCCACAACCTTCAATTTTTACCTTTACCCATCATCCTTTGGGCCTGTGGATGTCCGCTTTCTTGTTCAGGTAAATGTTTTAATGATAATAAATAATAATAATTTACAACATTTGATATAACGCCCTATCTAGCTAACATAAGCCACTCTAAAGCACTTTACAGTACATAGATATACAATTAATACAATTAGGATAAACATTTTTTGAGGAATTTTCAGGAGCTGCCTTATCAGGCGCTAAATACTAGTCCTATGCCACCTTGCTAATATCTCCCTATGTGTGTATGCCTGCGTGTGCTGGAGATATATTGTGTTCTGTTTGTAGTGGGACCATGCTTCCAACGGCATCTTTTATAGTGCCACTTCACTTGAATGCTACATCACAGATACCGCAACATCCACCCCAGACCATTATATACTCCACCTGGGTTGTTGGAGTTGTGTGGGCAGGAGAAAAACACTTTCTCTGATATTCCATACGTGTGATGACTTCGGGGAACGAACCCCGGCCGCCTGCGTGGAAGGCCGAAGTGTTAACCACTCAATCAATCTGCCCATTTTTTGATTTACTTGATTTTTATTTTAGCATGGTTTTGTAGTAAAAAGAATGATTTCATATGATATCATCAGTTCTTAATGAAAACAGCTGAATTATGTTTGGAGACATCTACTGTGTGGTTAGTAACCAGTAGCTGATTGTGAGGGACCATGGCATTTAAAACCTTATCACATTAGTTTGCCTTTTACATTTCTTTGTCTTTCCTTTTTGTATTATACCAGGTATTATGAATTTACATTTTCAGGGTTTTTCTTATCCTCAATAATTAATATCTCTGCATCCCTTGACTATGTCTCGGTGTGCACCACCTTGTGGATGATACACAGTAGATTAGTTTTATTCTTTGATTAACATCAAAAGAATCCCACGGCACCATAACAGTTAAATTGACTGGCATTAACGCTGGGCATTGCCCCTCTGTAATCTTCAAAGAACAGGTATCAGCCTAGGGATTGGTCAGTATTTAAGACTGAGATCAATTAAATAGCTTTTCATGTGTCTTCAACTTTGCGATGACATATTCCAGGGTTACAGAGAGCATAAGTGAACTTAACCCCTTTGGTATCAAGGGTTTCTCTAACAAAAACCGTGTTTAAAACGCTTAAAAACTTTCTATCCTTCAGGCTTCTAGTCTTCAATTCCTGTGCAAGTATGATTTTGACTTCAATAAGGTAAGTCATGGCTTTTCTGCAGTACCATGTAAAAATGTTCCAACTAGTACTCATTATTTGCTTACAACATACAGAAGATGACAATTGAAAATTAATGTATTGGATTAACTCACTCAGTTTAAATGTGTTTTCAGGGGGGAATGAGTTAAATAAATTACATTTATTACATTCTGTGCCCACCATGATTTGAAATATCTTTCCTTTGATGTTTGTGTATATTATTTGATCCAAGGACATATACAATTTGTTTTCAATTTTAGCAATTATAAAAATTTTACCAATTAAAATTTCATATAAATATGTGATTAATGAAACTTTTGAATCTTGCGAAAATAGTATCTTGAATGGTTAAATTAAATGCAGCGGGTAATCTAAAAAGTAATCACCGTTGTTTACAGTTTGTATACGAGGGTATACCTTACCTGAACAAACCCCAGCAGAAAGCAATGAAGAATCATCTTCACTCCAAAGCTTTGTTTCAGGCGAAGGACCGGTAAGTTGCTGACAACTCGAGATGTTAGTTGTGCTCTAGGGATTTATTTTACAGGATCGGCCCATATGTACGCCCCTTCTTGTCTTCAACAACATCATCACTGTACAGACTTCATTTCTTAGTTAGTGTTTTAAAACCAAGGTTACCTTTACTACTTATAGTCTGATAACCATGAAATTGCAAGTATTGACTGTACTGTGCTCACAAGCATTACTTCTTTTACAAGTTTGTAATGGTACAACCTTCTGGGGTCAATGAGTTCACTTTGTCTAGGGCATATCCAAACAAAGTCTGGGCCTAAAATTGCAAAATTTTATGGGTGGGATGACAGAGTTTTATGGATACTAGAATCTGACCTCCTGCCCCCCTGCCCAACTATATACAGAGTTATGGTCCTTTGTTTACTGGCAGAGTTACTGCCCTTTGTTTACTACACATTCCTTTGTCTTTGACCCGTTTTATATGTGACACATGTATAGAAGTATTTGACCTATCAGTGAGATGCGTATAATTTATTGTGGTGATTAAACATGTCAATAAGATAGGGAACAACAGGATGATCATGTTTACTATTAACTATATTACAGTATGGTGAATGTAAACAGGTAGCCGGCATTAAAATCAATTATGTCACTTGATTCTGTTCTATTTCAGATCCAATGATATTGATGAGCGTGTGCTCCAAGCTCTTTGTTTTCAGGTGGCTGAGTGGCTGGTGAAAACAGAGGATGACCAACAGGCAATACTGGAGGTCACTGATGAGGAAGTCCCAGGTTAGAACTCCTGTAAAATATCAATCTTTCTCCCGATAGACTTCTGTTATTTCCAAACTTTTTTCCTCAGAGTTATTACCCGTTTGTACTTCATTACTTCAAACCCTGTCCAGACAAATTTTCCAAAGTTATGTGACCAATTGCTGTTGATACGCACGTTGCATCAACAGGCCAACTTATATTTTTGAGATTCAAGATGGCCACCATGGCATCTGTTTGGCATTCCATTTGCTGAGATATAATAACAGTTAAAAGTTGAGTTACATGGAGTTGACATTTTTAATACCTTTTTTGAATGATACACAGGGGGTATATTTATAATAAAGACCAACTTTTAAATTTTAAGATTCACTTTGGCTACTGCAGCCTTTGATTGAGATTAAAAACTTCATTGGTGGATTCAGGAGTATCAATATACATTTCTATTGTTTTCTTACATTTCAAGAATGCATCAGAATTCGAAGTGTGTTGTATTTTGAGAGGCTATCAATTCTGTATGCTTAAAGATATCAACTAATCAGATGTTGATTGCAATGAAATATAACTATATTTATATATTGATGACAAAATTTCTAAAAAAGTCTGGAGATGCAATATTAGAAAGTTGTATATAGCAGAAATGATTTAGCTATCCAATGGATAATGTCTTCAAATGTCTGAGGGAGTTCAATGTAACAGCCTCATGTTAGTGAAAAGTTTCCCATGTCTTAGGGGGTTCATTGTAACAGCCAGCAATGCCTACTTCCACACATGTCTGAGGGGGTTCAATGTAACAGCCACATGTTATTGGAAAGTTTCCCATGTCTTAGGGGGTTCATTGTAACAGCCAGCAATGCCTACTTCCACACATGTCTGAGGAGGTTCAATGTAACAGCCACATGTTATTGGAAAGTTTCCCATGTCTTAGAGGGTTCATTGTAACAGCCAGCATTGGCTACTTTCCACACATCTTTGAGGGGGTTTATTGTAACAGCATCATGTCATTGGAAAGTTTCACAAGTATATATAGAAATTTCACTCTATACTAGCTATGCATCTACTGATGGGTTGATGTTGCTTGCTACTTAGTCCATCCCCAAACTTCAAGACTTCGTCCCCTTATCATAACGTGGAAAAACTTTGGGATCCTACTGTATAACCATGTATACATTTGATGGGGAAGAAGAGATGAATACAGATATGCCAGTTTTGGGTCCGAGGTCTGCTCCTGCCCTGGCGTAGTTAGTACTTTGTTTATAACATGGGAACATTTCAGATCCCCAGCCTAGAACCTTATATACAATTGTTAGGCAATAAGGTTAATGCCTCTGGGAACTTAGTATTTGGTTCAAACGGGAACTTAGTATTTGGTTTAAACATGGAACATAGTATTTGGTTCAAACCTTCTAAAAAGATAAGCTCCAGAGAATAACCTGGCCATGTACTGGAGATTTTTTTGCAGTATTTATTTTATTGAGAACATTTTGCCATGATTGCTTGAATACCCAGGTGAATAGTACAGGCCCTGTGAGCTTGTTGTTGTTTTACTTTAATACTTAATACATTAAACAACTCTATTGTGATTTATTACAGAACTTAGGTTTGTGAAATCTTTCATTGTGCGGACTGAGCTCAGGCAAAGATTTAAGAATGTATGGATAAATGTAATAGAAGGCGAACAGAGGGTGAGTATGTTTAAATTATAATGTAATGGTTTGCTGTATATCTCAATCAACAAATATAACAAACAAACATGTTACTGTCAATATAACACACTGCATGGCCCCATATCTAGAGATGTATGTGTCAGTATCTTAGATCTGTTAATGATGCCCTTCGCAGTAAAGTTTGTTGTTGTAACTAGTGTTCTGTTGGACCAACTGTCTTCAACTTTGTCCGAGTGATACATATGAGGAGTAATTAATGTTGAATGGCTGACCAATATTTCACCAAACCAGAACACAAAAAAATACTTTGTTTAAATTATAGCTTAAACAAATATTTTTCAGCGTCCTGACTCTTGATTTGTTTTTCTTCGTTTTATGTTGTAGATAATACAAATTTCTAAACGTGATGAGAAGGATATAAACAGTGACACGACTAAAGAAGATATGGATAAGTAATTAACACTTTAACTCAAATTAATTTGTACAAGGTTTCCTGTCTGTATATACCTGGTGTAAGTATTACTGAAGGCCAGGCAGCGATAAAGGTGGCCATTAGGCAGACATGTGGAATATGACCATTGCAGTTTGTTTTTATACGCCCGTCAATCCTCCTACTTGACCAATCTCTTTGAAACTTGGTATACATTATAATCATGATATGAAGTTGTGTCTCCCTCAAAAGAATTTTGATTCAACAATTTTTGCAAAAGTTATTGCCCTTTGTTCATTTCAGTATTTGATTTTTGTCCGATCTCTTTGAAACTTGGTATACATTATAAGAGCGTAGCTCTCGGGCGCCTCAAAGCTCTTTAATGGTAACACATGCGTGCGTTACCGGGTGGCTTCCCCTTTCTACACCTTGCCTTTTTTTTTTTTTTCGTCCGGAAGTAGATGTCCAGTGGGGAAACAGGAAGTGTATCCTTGAAGCAAAGACAATTGTGTTTTGACCCATTCATGAACATCTTCATGTAGTGAACACAATACCCATGTTTTATTACTTATTTATGTAGGTAAAAACTAATATACATTCTGAGTGAAAAAAATCTATCCCATAAATCTTGATACTAGCAGGCATGAAACATTATTCAGAGATTATCATACTCTGATGTCACAATCACATCACACTCCATCAGCCTTCATCGTTTATTTCCGGAAGGATGAAAAATAACCGGAAAACCTTGGAACTGATGGCCGTTGCATTTATCTCTTTGTCGGTGCTTCTTGACTTTTTAATTTCAGTTTTTGCCACAGGCACAAAAGTGAAAACGCAGATGTTTTCTGAAGATCCTTTTTGTCATCAACCATGTTCTGTTAAAATTTCTACCGGAGATATTTTCAAAAAGAGCCGCATTAAACAAATAGGTCAAAGTGTACATTTATTTTTCATCGTCTAAAATTTCATCAGCTTTTGATTTCGATTTGTTGAGAATATGAACGAAATAATTAACAATTTTGAAAGTCTGGTTATGGTCTTTACATAATTTATGTATGCATCACCACTTATAAAAGAAACAATGGATAATTCATTTATGTTGGAATCAACAATAATTGTGCCCTGATGGAAGCATGCAGATGATTTAATTCTTAATGTAGGAGAAAGATGGAGTATCAGGATAAACCCCGCGTGGTCGGGCAGGTGACCGGGATTGAATCCGGCCATCTTGGTGAAGACGAGCGCATTATCCACTGCGCCAACCAACCCATCATATACGTTACGCACAATAACAAATATCTACTTTAGCTTTGACTTGAAGAAAAAGGCGTCATTGATGCAAAAATTATATTGTGAATAAATTTTTACCAATCATCAAAGACACAAAAGTTCGGCCACCCATAATATTTTTGTTTTTGAGCTGATATTTACCTTTTTAAGGATCTTAGCAGTTTAGTTGACTGGGCGTTCACAAGAAAAAAAGGGATAGAAAAACTCTAATGTAAAATTACTTAACATGAGAAAATTGCTTTTGAGAGGGTAGTATCTAAATAAAATCATGATCTCGCTTCTAGTTATGCTAACTTTCTGTAAACGAAATTGCTATTTTTTTTACAGTATAACATATTGACAGCTTCAAATGATATACATAAAAGCCAAGCCAAGCACTCACTACCATATTGCTATACGATAAGAATTTATTGAAATATCAATTTGGGCCCGGACAGTTTCGGCCTATGAAACCGTGGCAAGTTCGGCCCATGTAACGCATAAAAAGTCGTAAATTGGCGGTAAAATCTGACGTTGTATTACTTATGACGTCATAATTAAGCTGATTCCAATGGGGCTGAACTTACCCGAATGCCTGTACGAACTTATCCCATGGCAGGGCTCGTTCGGCCATCCGATCTTCCCACAGTGAAAATTAAATAATGTTCAAAAACGGACGTGCATGCTGCCATACTTCCCAGAACGGACTTTAATAAAAATGGGCCAAACTGGCTCCTATCTCCCCTATTGTTATGTCGGTCTTAATCTCATTAGAGCTTTTGTTTTATTGTTATTCCTTGACTTGCCGACTTTAAATAAAGTTTATCTTACCTCATTCTGAAAGCAGTATTCTGAATCCGCAAATATCAGAAATCAACAAAAGCTACGCTCTTTTAAGGCTTTGCCTTTTCATATTAATCATGATATGAAGTTGTGTCTCCCATAAAAGAATTTTGATTCGACAATTTTTGCAAAAGTTATTGCCCTTTGTTTATTTCAGTATTTGATTTTTGTCCGGCAATCTCCTCCTACATTTTTCAAAGGATCTCTTTGAAACTTGCTATACATTATCATCATGATATGAAGTTGTGTCTCCCCTAAAAGAATTTTGATTCAACAATTGTTGCAAAAGTTATTGCCTTGTCATTTCAGTATTTGATTTTTTGTCCAGAGATTTTCTCCTACATTTTTTATAGCATGTCGGCTAACCACTCTTAGAATGATGCAGATCTTATTTCAATGTAAGAAAGTATAAAACACTATATGGCATTCAATGGGCGTATATTGTTCCGCCCCGCGGTACTCTTATTATTATTTCTTTGAAGTTGAAATCTAGATTTTGCAAATTTTATACATGAATTCTTCCTGATCTAAACTCTAAAATTTACCTCTTGTTTTCTATTCCAGATTGTATGAAAGTCTGAAAGGGTTTTCAAGAGTTTTTAAGATGTTGAAAGGAGGTGTTGTAAGTATTTGTAATTACATGTCAGTAAATATTGATTACTTTTATCATGTCTTAATTTAGCATTGTATAATTTACTACTGCCCAATTTTATTTATCACTTAAAGCTCAAACGGTGGAACACATTGGCTGTGTAGTTACAATAGTGGGGGGACATTGACTTTGAAGTTGTTACAATGAGGAACATCAGTCATGAAATTGTAACAGCAACAGTAACAGTGGCGGCACGCTAGTCTTGTGGTAGGACGCCAGACTCGTGACCGAAGGGTTGCGGGTTTGAGTCACGTCACGGCACTGTGTTGTATCTTTGAACAAGATACTATGCAGCTTGTTCCAGTCTACTCAGCTGTAAATGAGTATGTAGTTGGGCAGTGCTAGAATGGTTAAATGCTAACTGTGAGCGCTGAAATGGCAGCACCGGCTGTATGCTCCCCAGGGAGTTGAGAAAGATATTGCTGGTTGCAAAGGCCCTATAACCACGGAAAATAATTTGTGAACCACTTCGAGATAACCAACAAACTAGTCTGTGATAAAGGCGTATTCTGTATAAGAACCTCAAATTATTATTATTATCATTATCAGACAACATTGCCTAGTATTAAAATGAAATAGCAGCGGGCATTGCAAGTAAATATGAATAGAATTGGCCCAGAGCTCTGGTGAGTATGGGAAATACAGTGTGTTCTCCAGGTTTGAAAAATATGGCAGTGGTAGTGTGATATAGACAGAATATAAATCTTTTTGTGCACAGTCCCCTTCTGGAATAGTGACAGGATGGGTTCACGATAAATTAATATAAAACACACATGTATGACATAACATATATAAATACTGTACTTTTTTCAAAGAACTCTGTTATATGCCATTATTGACGCTTTTCCTTTGAATTTACCTGACTCCTCTATCTTTCAACAATATTTTGATGCCATTTTGCAGTAATTTTCTGTAATATTTGCAGCCAATCATTGGACACAACATGTTTCTGGACCTACTTCTGATTTATGACAAATTCCACAAGCCATTACCAGGTCAGTATCATGTACCAGAGTAGGGAAGGTTCAGGTGACAATTTATCGTATCATTGGGTATCTTGGGGGAGGTTTGAGTTGCCTTGATCAGGTCTCTGTGTTTATTTCAGATACCTTTGAAGCATTCAAGACAGAAATACAGGCAATTTTACCAGTAATTTTTGATACTAAGCACATCTGTAACAGCGCTAGGAATGAGGTGAGTGAGTACATAGGGTTTTATTTGTGCAGTAAAACAACAAAACATACCGGTATTAAAAATTTAGAAATGTTTAAAAATAATTAAGATGATCAAACCAGAAATCTAAAGTTAATGATCATATTCTTAGTTTTGTGCACTAACGAGAAATTTGTATTCTATAGAATTGCTCTACTCCAGGGCATGGTCACTGCAGTTTATGATTTTAATCTTGTTGCCCTCATTTGTAGCACAATGTAAAAGTGTGAGCTTGTGATGCGTTACTTCAGCAGCCTGCCATCTGTTGTCTGTCATTTTTTACACTAAACAATTTTTTTCACAGAGGCAGATTGAATGGCTAGGTCAAAAGGGGTCAAATAGGCTGATTTGCTTTAAATGACATCTCCACCTAACCTACTGGCAAGATTTCAACCAAGTTGCAGACTGTGGTAGCATTCTTAGGGCATAGAGATCAAAAGTCACGCAAATGAAAAGGCTGAATTTCCTGGATGCTAAGTGGCAGGGCCAAAAGTAGCTCAAACTGGAAGATTGGTTGTAAACAACATCTGTTCCCAAAATACCATACTTGCCAACTCTCCCGATTTTGGACGGTGACTCACGATTTTGGACCCTAAAATTGAGCATTTTAAACCAGTGAATTTGCTTAATTAATTCCTATTTTCTAAGATCTGATGATTTCATCTGGAAGGACAGCTCTATAAATGCCATTTAAAAGTGTGTTTATTTCCCTGGGTGTACATACAACAAAATTTACTATATTATGCTTTTAATTCTGAGCACATGTAATCTCCTCCGTAGAAATTTCAAAGAATGAAATACTAGGCAGGTTTTAAGCAAAATGTGTTAGTAGCATCCTTAACCTATGGGTATCAAAACTTATACAGATGAAGCGGTTAACATTCCTGTGGGCTAGCTCCCATCTCCTCGCAAGCTTCTGGCCAGGTGAGGGATTTAAGGCCCCTGTTTTATATGCTACAATGTATTGGAGAAATCAGGTATGTTGATGATTGATTACGATTGGTATCCAGTCCAGCACTGTTATGAACTACTGATCTAAGGGGTAGGGGTAGGGTTAAAGGACATTGGATTTCTCTTTCATTCTTGCTATAACAGTGCCTCACATCTTTTTAGCATTTCAGAGATTCAGGACTTCTAGAAAACTCATCTCTGCAGATGTTATACCAGAGTCTTTCAAGGTAATGTTTACATACTAGGTAGTGTCAGGGTACCCAAAACAGGACGTTTTTAGTTATTGATTCATTATATACCTCTATACACATTGTATCAAATTTCACAAATACATATCATCAACTTTTCTATTACAAATCAATCAAATAGAATGCAAAAATCTGTCAGGATCATGTAGACTCTTGAACAGCTGTAACTGTACCATAAAGTGGACACTTTGGTAGTTAGGCTAATGTTGGGGGGGG